GAGCATAATTTATATATACAGAACCTTCCATCCCAAAACAGCTGTTTATACATTCTTCTCTAGTGCACATGGAACATTCTCAAGAATCGAACACATACTGGGACACAGAGATAGCCTCAACAAGTATCAGAGGGTTGAAATCATACTAACCATATTCTCTGACCATAATGCTTTGAAACTAGAGATCAACTGCAGAAAGAAATCAGGAAGAACCACAAATATATGGAGATTAAACAAAATGTTATTGAAGAATAACTGGGTCAGGGAAGAAATAAAAAGAGAGATCAAAAGATACATAGAAATGAGTGATAATAATAGTACAACATATCAAACCTTTTGGGACACGGCAAAAGTGGTCATGAGAGGAAAGTTCATATCATTACAGGCCTATTTCCAAAAACAAGAATGAGCCCAAATAAAAAAACCTAATGCTTCATCTTAAAAAAACTAGAAAAAGAAGAACAAATGAGGCCAAAAGGCAGCAGAAGGAAAGAAATAATCAAAATTAGAGCAGAAATAAATGAAATTGAAAACAACAACAAAAAAATAATAGAGAAAATAAATACAACCAAGAGCTGGTTCTTTAAGAAGGTTAATAAAATTGACAATCCCCTCACTAGACTCACTCAACAAAAAAGAGAAAGGACACAAAGAAACAAAATCAAGGATGAAAGAGGGGAAATTATGACTGACATCGCAGAAAAACAAAAGATCATGCAAGAATACTATGAAAAAGTATATAACACCAAATGCAATGGCCTAGAAGAAATGAACCAGTACTTAGAAAAATACAATCTTCCAAGACTGAATCAAAAAGATCTGGAAAATTGAAATAGACTGATCAGCAGTATGGAAATGGAAACAATCATCAAAAACCTACCAAAAAGTAAAAGTTTAAGACCAGATGGCTTCACCAGTGAATTCTACCAAACATTTAAAGAAGATTTAATACCTATTCTCCTCAAACTCTTCCAAAAAATCAAAGAGGAGGCAATACTTCCCAATGCATTTTATAAGGCCATTATCACCCCGCTACCAAAACCTGGTAAAGAGAACACAAAAAAAGAAAACTGCAGACCAATATCTCTCACAAACACAGATGCAAAAATCCTAAATAAGATACTAGCGAACCGAATGCAGCAACATATTAAAAAGATTATACACCATGATCAAGTGGACTTCATATCAGGGGCATAGGGATGGTTCAACATATGCAAATCAATTAATGTGATATACCACATAAACAAATTAAAAAATAAGAATCACATAATTATATTAATAGATGCAGAAAAAGCCTTTGACAAATGTTTTGATTATGGTCAAAACACTTAACAAAATTGGTATAGAAGGAAAATACCCTAATATAATAAAGTCCATATATGACAAGTCCTTAGCCAACATTATGCTTAATGGTGAAAACTAAAAACCTTCCCTCTAAGATCAGGAAAAAGACAAGGCTGTCCAATATCGCCATTGTTAATTCAATATAACATTGGAGGTCCTAGCAAGTTCAACAGGCAAGAAAAATATATAAAAGGCATCGAAATAGGAAACAAAGAAGTCAAACTGTCACTATTTGTGGATGACATGATTCTCTATACAGAAAACTCTAAAGACTCCACAAGAACATTATGAGAAACAATAAGCAAATACAGTAAAGTTTCTGGAAAATCAATGTTCAAAAAACCATAGCGTTCCTATATTTTAATAACGAAGTGTCAGAAAAAGAAGTGGAAAAATTAATTCCTTTTGCATTTGTAACAAAAAGAATAAAATACTTAGGAATAAATCTAACAAAACATGTGAAGGACCTATATAATGAAAACTATAAGACTCTATTAAAAGAAATCGAAGAAGATACAAAGAAATGGAAAGATATTCCGTGTTCTTGTAATGGAAGAATCAACATAGTTAAAATGAATTTATTACCTAAAGCATTATACAGATTTAATGCAATCCCCATCAAAATCCCTTTGGCATTTTTAAAAGAGATAGAACAAAAAATCATTCAGATTTGTATGGAAGCACAAAAGACCCTGAATTGCCAAAGCCATCCTGAGAAAAAAGAATGAGGCTGGAGGCATCACTCAGCTCGACTCCAAATTGTAGTACAAAGAGATAGTCATCAAAACGGCATGGTATTGGCAACAAAACAGACACATGGACCAGTGGAACAGAATCGAGAGTCCAGAAGTAAACCCACATTTATATGGGCAAATAAGTTTCGACAAAAAAAGCCAAAAACATACAGTGGAGAAAGGAAAGCCTCTTCAATAAATGGTGCTGGGAAAACTTGAAAGCCACCTGCAAAAGGACGAAACTAGACTGTTGTCTATCACCACACACCAAAATTAACTCAAAATGGATTAAGGACCTGAATATAAGACCTGAAACAATAAAATGCATAGA